AAAGTTTTTAGCAAAATCATTTCTACATTTTGTGTGTAACCAAGTACTTAAAGTACTTTAAAAACATTGACAGAGACATTCTTAAGTGTTTTTAAACAATTACATTTGATTTAATAAAGTCACACAAGTGCCAATTTCTCATCTGTCACATCCAAAACAGAGAGATGCCGCATCCATAACAAAGCTTTTCCCTCATAAATGCAAAAATGTCAAATAAAATAAAACCAATCACGTTGGTTCCATAGTGAGCCTACTCTTTTCCTGTTGATTAGCATTATTTATTTTGGTTTGTGTAAATTTAATTCACAGAATTTCTAAAAAGCACGTTTTGTACTGTATAAATACTGTAAACTCACATACTTTTTTTAGCATCCATAATGCATGATTATATTCCTCATTTATAAAAAACGTTTACAGATTGATATTTTTCTGATTCTATAACTCTTTGTTGAGTTGTTTTGGAAAATATAAACAGACGTTTTTCTATATAATGTTAACATATACTTTCTCTGTGAATTTATGTTTTGAATTTTTACTTTAAATGTCACATCCACGCTGGAATTACTCATATTTAGTGTGCAAGCATTAGTCATGCAAGAAAATATCAATACAAGTAAATACCTCAATGCATCTTTTTGGCAATAATCTGTGGATATTTACTTAATCGTTTACATCTTAAACCTGTGCCAATCTAAAGATGACAGTTTTGTTACCTCTGAGTGTAAAATGTGAGAAGAGCATTGCTACACTGTGAACGTTAGCATTGCAATTTTCAAATTTCATTAACTACCATCAATGGAGGATGAAAGAATTATATCATCTCTGGCTGCAGTGGGAGTCATTTTAGCCTCCATTTTAAAGAAGGCACTAGTAAGGAGTGATGCAAGTTTTATTTTCACAAAAAAAAGAAAAACACACAGAATTTGAAAAAGCTTAACAAATGAATGGTGCATTACTTGATTTCAAAATAATTGAAGGAAACACAAACTATCTACTATCTATGATTATTTATTGAACATCATCATGGAACAACTGGAATTAAAACACACATTGCCTAAAACAAACATTTACTTTTTTTAAAAAATAAATAAATAAATAACTTGCACTTTTGGAAACAAAATAAGCTATTTTTTAATGTTTCAATGCCAATCTCTTATAAACAAAATAACATTTAAAAATAATTTAAATCCTGTAAATAATATTTTAAACAGTGCATTTCTTGCATCTTCTGTAAATAAATATTTTAATGTAAATAATCATTTTAATGTAATGGATATATATGCAGTCTCAAGGAAGCTCTGGCGCAGCTTCCAATCATCGACAAACTAATGCAAAGTATGGCTCAAGAATGGATCCTACTGGTCCTGCGTGAGCAGAGATCAGATGTGGCTGCAAAGTGAACACAGAAGTATAAATCAGCCTCAACCTTTAACAGAGCAGGCTCACGTGACTACACACGTAATTGAAAAAAATCATCCTGGAAAAATTAGATAATTTATAGGTTCTGGAAGTCGATTTTGATTACTTATCTCCCAGCCCTACCGTATATGTCCTACCTTTCAATAACAAAATAAATGCACAACAAAACATGATAGTGATGGGAAAACCGCAGTTAAGCTAAAACAGCATCTGATCATGGCAAAGTGGAAATATTTGCACAAGCTCTGCGATTCAGCATTCAAGTCCCATCACTTTTTTTTAAACGGTACTTTATATGAAAGCTTGCTTTAAATCAGAAGATTTCAAGTATAAACCAATGAAAACTGTGCTAGTATTGATTTTACAATGTTTGATATATTTTATTTCATTTGATGGAAACTATATATTCTAAACAGTGTAATTCTAAATAGTGGCGTTACACTCACTGATTGGACTGCATTTTCTGTTGACTGGTTCATTAATTAAAAACTTGTATACAGTGAAGTTCTAAGATATAATGCAATATATAGTCTTATTACATTTAAAGTTTTGTAAAATATCATACTAAACCTCTGCAACACATTGCATCACCAGAAAATTGCCAATACAGCACTAGCTGCTGGCATACATTAAAGTGTGCCGTAAAGCATTTTCAATCAAGGCTTAAACTAAGTAGTCATCTTAGAGGCATGTCTTAAGAAGGGTGATGTTATTCTAAAAGCATTATAATAATCTCTGGTTATTTCCATGGGTAGTTGCTGAAAGACAAACCATAGAGGAAGTCATTATGTCAGAGATCAAAGTCTTTCTAGGCCTCCCCCACAGTACATTTTCCTATAAACCCTGTGCGTTTCATCACGTGTCAGATTTTCACAGGTGACACCGTCAAATGTGCTCAGTGGATTTGATTACGAGCATTTAACATTCAACAAATACCTCAAGAAACTGAAAGCAAAACATAGAAGACTGCCTTTTTCAGAAGTGAAAATGCCCTGAAATCTCTGAAAGACCCACTATAAAAATTCCAGAGTCCTATTAAATGAACATTTCATTTAGCAAGACTGCATATTTGTGATGTACCACATTTTTTGAATTACATAAGTGAACTCAACACACATATTTGATATGGTCCAGTGAATATATGAAAATCTATTAAGTCACACTATCCTAAGGCTGTGTTGCGTAAAGCATGTTATCTGTTCTCTCTGCTGCTGGGATGGACACCGTTGAAAGAGCAGTAGCCATCTGAGGGGCAAAGGTCATCTCTATTCTCAAAATAGCTGTTCAGTTCAACATTTGCATGAATAATGTCTGGACTGAACAGAGCGAATGTGGAAAGTCAAACAAACTGAGCTAGGCGAGTCAATAACAACTTTATGGACCAGTAAAAACATTTCATGGTTATGCACATCATACACAGTAAGCTCTATATCCATGACGCCACAATACTGCACAGAAAAAAAGAATAACTGATATGATCATTTTGTTCTTATATTTAACAAATATGACATAAAAAAATATGAACCAAGTCATATCTACTAGAAAACAAATTAGGGGTGAGGATTGAGGAACCACAAATTGGTTATTATTTACAGTGGAAGTTGTATTTGTTATAGTGCTGGGTGATATGCAGGTCCACACGAAATATGCGCGTGCAGAAATCCGCAGATTTTCAGTCCATCATTTAGTCTATTTATTTAGCTGTGAGTAAATGTGTGTAAATTTATATTTATTCGGTTTTTAGTAATATGTCAGTAATATAATTGACTAATATAAAAACGTTCATATGATTTACTTACAATACAGTTTAAAAAAAATAATTTCTGTCTTTTAGTAGATTTATGGTAGATTATATGAATGACTTGTTTTGTTTACCAAATAAATGGATCTAATAGAATTTGAACTGTAAACATTAACAAGTTACATTTTTTATCAAGTTATTTTTTATATAACATATTAAGTTTTTAGTTACGATTCACCGAAAGCCATTACGCATAAATCCACAAATCTTTCACAATATTCTGCACAGAAATAGCCAAAAAATATCTGGAGATTCTGTCTGGCCCTAGCGATATATTGAATGATAACAATATATATTTCAATATAAGTTGTTAATGCCTCAAGATGTAAAAGAGTAAACCGAGAATGGCTGAAGGCACCAAAATTAGAGGGTCCATTAAATAAAATTTTTTCAAACGATACATTTTCGGCAGCCAAACATTTTTTACACTTCTAATATCAACACATTTTTAAGATTCCCATTGTTGCACATTTCTGTTGTGTGATTGGGTCTTAGATCAATATAGAGTAAAAAAGTCCAGAGCTTATGATTGTTAATGACATAAATTTTATTGCGATTCGATATAATATTGTTTATTGGCCCAACCGTAATTTGTTATATAATTTAATGATTAATTTGTAAAACATTGGACTCAATAAATTACCTTATAAGCTGTCTTTTGCAAATGCAGAACAGAGAACACCATATATTACTCTATTTCCTGCACTGCTATTCTAGAGAAATAGGCTGACAATCCCTTTAATGAACACTTACTAGACAATATTTATTTTTTTTTATATAATGCTTAACTGTAATTGTTAACTGTACTAAATAGAGTACACATATATAAATACACAAGTATGGCACGGTTTCTGTCGAAATACGTTAGGTGGAAGAAATGACTCATAAGGTTATTTTCTGACCTTCTAGCAGTGAATCAGTCTGAGACGTAACTGACTCACTTTTACATAAATGAATGGCAAACTATTTTATTCTTTTACCATTAATAAAATAACTGCGTGATGTGCTACATTTTGTAACAGTGCTGAGAGCATTTAACGCAATGGTGGTTGGATTTTTAATGTTATTCTACACAGGGGTGGACTTTACTAATAAGTGAGGTTAGGTTAGAGTGAGGTTAGAGTTTTAGATTCTTTTGAACACATGTAGCTGCTGCTTGTCAATCAGACAACGCTTCAATGTCATTCTTTCGTTGCTTAGGGCCCTGGAAAAACAGTGCCAACAATGCCAAGAAGCTTATATTAATCATTCTAAAGCTATTTTATAATTTTTCTATCATGTGTTGTAAAATTTGTCTATAACCATTAAAATGTTGACATTATTATTTCTTTTCTAAATCCACGGGTCCCATGAATAGTGGAACAATCCTTCCATATCATACTGCACATGCAAATATTAAAATCTAATCACAAATCATAAGTATGGTATATATATAAGTATACATAGTTTGTGAGCTTGTTTTTTATTTGTAAATATATTGTATTGAGATTTTAAGTTTAAGAAGGTTCCACTTTAAATATTTTTTTTAAAAATTATCTAGAGAGAAAACAAATATCTTTTTGGGTTTCAGTGCTAGGGCCCCATACATGGAATTGCTTAGGGCCCCCAAATCATTAAGTCCGCCCCTGATTCTACTCAAATTATTTTTTTTAGAAAACATGCTAACAGAATAGTTAGTAAAACAGGTAAAGAACACGAATTAAAAACATAGATTCCTTCTCCTCCCATCCTTGTAAGAGTGCACATAAACACTAGATTAACGTTGGCTCATGTGACTCACCTGTTCGATGAAAATCAGCCGCGTCTATCCATGATGTCAACGTCAAAGCTCAAGAGTCCACGTTCAACTTTAACTAGTATTTTAACACAGTCCATGGCTCGAGTAGTCAGCTTACTTATTTTATATACAACATTATACAGTAGACAATGAACGAGCGAAATGTACCCTATGCAGTAAGCACGTTAATTATATCAACCAGGAAAGGCTTCCTCTTACTCAGCGCGATTATTCCAGAGCATCGATTAAAACTACCAACACAAACAAAACAACGGCTTCACGAGCAGCACGAAAGCAAACACCCCAAATACTCCTTCTTAAATATCGAAATTCAGCGTTACAAACTGCGACTTTAAAGCGCGAAAGCAGTGGGAACACAGTGATGCTGTGGTGAAGTGAGACTCCATCATGATGTTTGCTGTGTTTCGTCACTCATTCCAGCATCCTCTCTTCTTCATCTGCACCTTGCTCGGTTCACTTCAGCTTCCAAATTAACGCGAAGCGTACGGTAGCAAAGAACTAAACAGCGGTTTACTCATGACGCTAAAGCAAGCTAGTGGTCTTCCGCTAGTGTTTTAAAAAAAAGCATGCGCTCAGCTTTTGGCCCGCGCCTACAAACAACCTCCCTCAACCCCACCGAGAGCAGCGACCATACTCTCACTCACGCGCGCTGCAAGTGTGACTCGGTGACGTAGGACGTGATTCACAGTGCACGAGCTGCCGGGAGCGCGCGCGATACTTGAATGACGGTGTTGACATGTGATGTAGAAAGTTTATTATGTTTTATATAATTGCAAGGATGGTTATGTTAAATATCAAACAAACGTTGTCTGCCTTATTGGATGTGGATTGTAAGTTTGTTTATATAGGCATGTATATAGGCATTCGATTGTGTTGGGCCTAGTTTCCATATTTTTGCTTAAGTCAATGAATTGCAAAACTGGTTTCAATTAAATGAAAACATTTAGATTACTTTAAAGGCTGTGTAAGTTAATATCAATATACATATATACACACAATGATATTAATACACACACCATAGTAGATGCGAAGTGCTGGGCAAAGCCTAATGGATGGATTTCAACACAGTGCCAGTAATATCAGGTGTCTGTGGCAAAACCTGAATCCTGTTTCTTACTTCACTCAGAAAGAAAGAGGAGGAGAGGGCTCGGTGGCAAAGTTGGTGTTGAATTAAAATACACTATATTTATTTTATAACTGCATGTATTTTATTCATTCATTCATTTTTTTCGGCTTAGTCCCTTTATTAATCTGGAGTCGCCACAGCGGATTGAACCGCCAACTTATCACATGTTTTACACAGCGAATGCCCTTCCAGCCGTAACCCATCACTGGGAAACCCTCTCATTCACACACATATACTACGGACAATTTCAGTTTACCCAATTCACCTGTCACGCATGTCTTTGGACTTGTGGGGGAAACCGGAGCACCCGGAGGAAACCTACGCAAACAAGGGGAGAACATGCAAACTCCACACAGAAATGCCAACTGTTCCAGCTTAGGCTCGAACCAGCGACCTTCTTACAGTAAAGCGACAGCACTACCTTCTGCATCACCGCGTCGTCAGTCATACATGCATTTTATTTTATTTTTTAAATTATTATTTCTTCAGAAGACCATTTAAAAGGTTTTTAGCTGAAGCCGTGGTCCTAAATGAAAAAAAAATTATAATAAATAACAGGCTGAACAGAATCAAAACCTGTGGCTCACAAGTTGATGTCTTGAATGGCCTGCTGGTGAAAAAAATATACAGAATTTTTTGGCTTTTTTGAGTGAAATGTCCCTTTGAAAATGTCTCTGGTGGCATAGACTAGTGAACGTCTCCAAAGAAATACTTCACCCAAAATGTCAAATTCATCTGTTTGACTTACTTTGTTCTGTTAAACACAACATTAGTTATTACTGTATATATTGTGTTTGTTTCTTTTTGTTCAATTTTTGGTTCAACAGAAGGAAAAAACTCTTAAAGGTTTGGAAGCACTTGATGGCAGGTAAATGGTAAGTTAATTAATTAAGGGAAATTATCCCTTTAAACCCTACAATTTATACACTGTGATGGCATTAAGATCTTCCTTAATTGACAACCAATGAAGTCCTTCTGCTAAATTTTCTTTTTTAGTAATTTGATTTAAAAACATAACAATATGGAAGAAAAGATCTGCTACTTTTACAGTACATCACTATTTTATACCGTGTAAGCATGCGTGCGTGCTTGTGGGTGTATTTGTAGTTTCTGTTAATTTGTGTGCCAGTCAGGATCACCATGCTGAAGATTTCCAGTGTACTTGTGCACACTTGACTCACCAAATTTACTACACCATTCAGTTTTCCTTCTACCTTGATAGACTATGGAAAACTCTCAGCTCTAGCTGTTAAAATTTAATCTGCTGAATAACCTTAGAGATATCAGCCTTTAAAAAAAATGTAGACTGTAGAAGTATAAAACTGGCAACTTCTTCAGCAACAAAATCTTTTGTGCTTTTTGTCCTGCCAAAAATCTATAACAGTGCTTCAGTAGGGCTACACAATGAGAATGAGAGAGCTATAGAACGATATACTTTGATGATATTTTAAGAAAAAAATCACTAAATATATAAATATGTCATTTTAATTTACATTTTAAATTCTTTTTCTTTTGAAAAAGCTTCTGTAGTCTTTACATTCACACAGATTCATTTGATGGAAGAAAAAAAATATGACTATTCTTTGGTGAGGGAAAAAACAATCTGAGTTGTTGAAGGTATAGTTTGTGCAAAAATGGAACATTTGCTCACCATTTACTGAACCTAAACTGATTCCAAACTTTTGTCAGTTTTTTGCTATTGAGCAATAAAGAATACATTTTCAAGAATGTTGGAAACCAGTAGCCATCATCCAAAGGAAATACTACGGAATCCCTTGACTATCGCTCTCAGTATTCTTCAAAATGTCTTTTTACTCAAGAAAGAAACTCAAACTAAATGAAAATTTTCATTTTTATCTTCATTTTTTGAAATGTCCCTTTAGGGTGAAATGTCCACATTTACAAATTGCTGAAGCCAAATAGGGTTGCCACAGTATACAATTAATGAAAAGTACATTTTAACTAACTGCAGGTAGATAAAAGCACAAAAACTCTTTAACTAAACTGAGAAAAATAATGACACCAAAGTCATGTGTTACACTGCTTTACAGCTAAAAGTGAAGTTGCTTCATAAATTTAAAGATTCTGGTGAATTCAGGTCAGGTGGGATATTTTCCTTGGCCATCCCATATGGCAAAAAGTCTCCCAATTTATTTAAAATCTGGTTAAGCTGTAAGTTGCAACAGGCTTTTATTTCAGTGTGATGATGAGGATTTTTATTTTTTGCACTCCTTCTTTGATCTTTCTTTCACAGCAAATAAACAGTTTGGTGTGGCTAAGCATATTTTGCCCAAACCATCAAACTGATGCCATCAAAGAAGTACTGCCATTCCAGAACAGAAGCATATGGTCAGCTTTGCTTAAAGATTACCACAATGAAATGTTTCACCTATTAACTTAAAGGGATAGTTCACGCAAAATGTAAAAGTTTACTTTCAAACCTTTATAACTTTTTTTCTGTTGAACACAAAAGAAGATATTTTGAAGAAAGCTGAACACCTGTAACCATACACTTCCATAGGAAAAACAAGTGTTATGGAAGTCAATGGTTACGTTTCTTCAAAATACATTTTATCTTATTTTTTTTATTTTTTTATTTTAGCCCTCATGTTCAGCAATTGGGGAAATAATTGCAAGTTATTTTAGGCTTCTATTTTATAATTAAATCTTGTCTTCCTTTTGATGCTAAAAGAAGCTTGTTTCTGCAACTTTTATGTGTGTATTGGACTATGGCAATGTTATTATATGCATGCATCTTTGCATGCTTTAGACACTGTTTACCATGGTGCACTGAGGTTTATGACAAATCTAAAATCCCTCAGTCATCATCGTGTGTTGTACATTCGGGTAGGATGGTCTGCTTTGTCCTCTTGTAGACTCAAGCATTGTCATATCTTTGTTTATAAATCTATTCTGGGTTTACTCCCCTCATATCTCCAAACTTACATTTGTTAAAGAAAAAAACTGTCTCTAACTATAGGCTTTAGTCTCAGGAAATCTTTTTATTGTCTGTACCACTGGTGCTGAAATGGGAAAAAAGTTTAAATGAAGTATTAAATATGCAGCACCTTTTACATGGAATAACCTCCAAAGTTTCAGTTTAAAGAGTTGGTTTCACTACATGCTTTTAAAAAGATTTTAAATGATTTCAAGTTTAAAACTTTGGCCTGTAGATGTTCTGAATAGTTTTTAATTGTTGTTGTATGCAGGGGTGGATCTAGTGATTTGGGGGCCCTAAGCAGTTCTAGCCAAAGGGCCCAACAGTCCTAAAATGCACCCTTTGTAGTTATTTTTAATATATTTATTTTGCAGGTTTTTTTATATCACTAGATCTCCTTTTTAAATTTTTTTCCTAATGGAATCTACACATTTTAAGTGATTTGTTTGAATTAATTAATAAATGGAAAATAATATATATTTTTTTAACTGAATCTTTACCTGACTTGATTGCTAAACTGCTCCATGATTCTGAGTATAACACAAATTTGCGTTGATGTTATAATTACATTAAAATTTAATTTGTTAGACCCTCGCCATACAAAATATGATAGAAAACGATGTCGTGTATAAATTTATTCTAGGTATTTACTAGGGGCCCCCAAATTTCCTGAGGCCCTAAGGGGCTTGCCTCTTTTGCTTATTGGGAAAATCTGCCTGATTGTATGTGTGTTTTGATGGAAGAATGATGTTACCTGTTATTTGTTTGTTTGTTTGTTTGTTAAACCTATGTGAACTGTATATACAGCCTAATCTTGGCCAGGATGCACTTGCAAAAGAGATTTTTACCCTCAATGTGCTTTTTCTGGTTTTGGGTACTTAACGTAAACTAGAAAAATAAACAGGCAGACTTTAACTAAAATTAATTAAGACTGAAATGATGAGCTGAATTATGATACAATTGTTTTCTGTAAAGCTGCTTTATATCTGAAATTAAAGCTGTATTATTTATGAACTTGCGAAATCAACACTGTTATTTCACCGTTTACCCCAGCTTTGAAACTATCTACACCGTATAAATTAGTGTTAAATATTTAAATGTGACTTCACATCTAAATTTCACCTTCGATTTTTATAAATAAACACCAGATGGCGCCATAGAACAACTTCACAGACTCGCTCTAAGCGCCACTGCTGAGGGCGCCATCATTGCACAGTTGTGTTTTGCACACATAACGGGAGCCATTGTCCCGTTTATGCTAAATTAATAACATATGAACCAACATGTGGGATATCTCCCACACATTTAACAAAAGCAGAAGTGATGAATGGCAAACAAACTGTCCTGCTGACTTCATTCATGTTGAGGTCAAAGGGCACAAAGTTCAGATGCTTTAGACGGCAGGACACCTCAGAAAATTATTTATGTATTGCCTACGACTACAATCAAACGAGTTTGAAACCTCAGACTCATCAGCACCTGCAAAAGCTTGACTCACAGAAAAACAACATGCACATGTAAACACCGTTTTCCACGAAGATTTGTGCAATGTTGTGAGTTCACATACACAACAGTTTTGTTTTGAAATTCAAAGCATAGTTTTTGACTCATGCCATCCGGCCCAGTGCCCTCGATTTCATGTTTATGCGCACGAGAGGGAGAGAGAGACAGAGATAAAAAGAAAGTGAGAGAGCTCTGGTTTTCATTGAGCTTGGCATTTTTCCACAGACAAAAAGATTTACAGGCCAAAGAAACAGATGGATGAACGTAGTACAGAGTAGGAGGAGAGAAAAAAGAGAGAGAGTTCAGGTTCACACTGCGTCTTTAGATGTTTTTCACAGCCCATGTGTACAGTAAGTGGAGGTGAGTGAGTGTGTGTGCGTCCATGCTGTTAATGGATTGCTAATTAAGGACTTCTCAGGTGAAGCCAGGAAAAGTAGGAGAGGAAATGGAGGATCGGAGTGCCAGGTAAGAGGAGAAGGTAGAAATAGTTTATCAAAAAGAGAGCAGATGAAGGGGGGGGAAAAGACAAACTTAAGGAGGGGCAGAGGAAAAAGAAAGGTATGTGGCTGCCTCATATATTGTGAGAGGGAATACGGAGAGAGGAGCAGGAGAGATCATAAGAGAATAGAGAGTCTGGTAAGAATTTCAACACCAATTAAAAGAAAAAGCAAAAGGAATGAAAGGGTGATTCTGTCAGTACGACTGCTCTGTTAGTGTAACTCTATCTGCTCTGAGCCGTAACATACAGTAATGACTTCTCAGTGATGGGGCCACTACTTTCTACACACACACACACACACACACACACTTCTAATGAGCACTCCGGGGCTTATACACAATACTGAGACTACTGTGAGTTATTTAAAGAGAAGAGCGATCAGACGGAATCAGCTTTGATCCAGATTTGCGCTTTGGGGACTGTTGTCTTCATATTTATAAGTATGATATTTTACGCTTTTGATTTCTTTGACATATAAAAAGTTGATTTGATAGCGCTGATGTGTTTACGTGAAGGTTTTTTTTTCTGCATATCTTTTGTGCAGTGTTCATTAGTGCTGTGTTTTCTTGATGAAATGAAGGATGTCTCTTAGGATGTCCTACAGAGGATTGAAATCTTTGTGAGAGATTGATTAAATTTTAAATGCAGTCTTCAGTCACTCGTGCTCATTCTGAGAAGTTTTAGTTGGTGAAGGAAAAACTTTATATGTCTGAGTGCATTCTGGGTGAGATCTTGAACTTTAAAAAGGCACCTGTTGAATGAATGTTACAGATCCGTCAACGTCCGTTCTGTGAGCCATGCAGCTGCTCGCTCAACTGTTCTTCTTGACTGCGATGCTTCACCTTGGTGTCGTCATGGTAAGTGGCTTACTGTTGATATGGTGAGAACATGTTGCTAGTGTGCTTGTATTTTTAAAACTGTAATGAGAAATGATTAGGAAAAGCAATTTTAAAATAATGGCAATTTGAAATTAACATTATGGTATTAAGTTAATGAAATTTTGAATACATGAATTAAAAGGATTGTACACCAAAAAAAGAGAACTCTGTCCTTGTTTACTCTTCTTGTTTCAAACTTATTTGACTTTATTTTTTCTGGTTAAGAAAAATGGGGATATTTTGAAGAAAGCTGGAAACTATTAATCAATTACTTACTGTATGCAGAACTTGTTTTTTTCTATATGGACCTCATCTCATAATACTATGGAATCTTCTTTTGTGTGAAACAGAAGAAAGAAAGTTATAAAGATTTGGAACAATTATAGGGAGAGTGAATCATGAGTAAATTTTCCTTTTGGGTGACCTGCCCCTGTCAGAAATTAGAAATTAATTCAAGGTTTTTATTTTACTGTTATATTATAACTGCTGTAGTGGAATTACATACATTATAAAGGTGATTTAAATTACTTATAGAATTAATTTTTTTCATCAAATTATTGAATTTACATTAAATCAACAGGTTAATTCTATAACCAAAAAAATTAAGTTGAGACAGCGAAGACTTAATTTTTTCAGTGATTTTATTAACACACTACAGCTGTGTTTTTGAATTAGTGTTTTGTGAACCTGCTGGCAGAGGTGTAAAGTAACAATTTACAAAAACTCCAAGTACTTTAACTCAGTAGTTTTAAAAATGTGTACTTTTTTACTTCCCCTTGAGTGCATATTAGTGCAGTATCGGCACTTTTACCCCAATACTTTCTTTCAACCTGCAGTCACTACTTTTTTTTTTTTTTTTTTTTTTGCTGTCTATGGGGATTTAAAAAATCTGTGATTACTGTTGCATCATAATAAACTTCCTCAAGACATGGGCAATTTATAATTGCAGCAAACTGTTTGGAAGTGTAATAGTGTCCAGGAAGATGTCCAAAACCTTTACATGCAATGACCCAGAGACTGTTTAGATGTATGTCACTGATGAGAAGATGACGGATGTTTACTGTATGATGACCGGAATGGCCTTAAACACCCAGCAGGCACAAGACGTCAACATGATGTCAGATTGGTATTGTACCCACAACTTCATGGGGATGTTGCACTTTGTTTGGAAATGAAAATTGGGTTGACATCAGAACCCAACGTCAGGCAAACTTAAAATGTTCAATGGTTAACCTAAAATCAACCAAATATCAATGTCTAATGATGTTACAGCTTGACGTTGTGTGGGCGTTACCACTATGGCGTCTATCAGATGTTGGATTTTGGTTGCCATACCTGACAAATAAATCTCAGTATTTGACGTCAGTATGACATTGGTTTAAGATGTTGGTTCGATGTTGGATTTTGGTTTCTAACACAGCCTAAAATCAACCAAATATCAACGTAATTTGACGTTGTTATTGGACATCAACATAGACTTGTCCTTAGCTAGACATTGAACTTCGTCACCTGACATCACAACCTAAATATAACCTAATATTAACAACTTATGATGTTATGTGTCTGCTATAACTAAAAACACTAAAGAATGTTACGTTTACACACAAATTAGATGTAAATGCATCAGCTTTTTACAGCGTAATACTCTACTTAGGTCTACTTTTTACTCATACTTTGAGTACTAGTCACATCATATACTTTTACTCTACTTTCACTGCATTTTTAGACAAGTAATTGTGTTTTTACTTAAGTATGATTTTTCAGTACTCTTTCCATCACTGTCTGAATCAACTGTTAAAATAAATCAACTTGTTAAATGAACAATTCAGCAATTCGCTCATAAAATTTGTCAACGATTACCATCTACTGGCACTTAAATGTGGCATTACTGTGATTTGATTTAACAGAAAAAATATTATATAGAATACTATTTGTACAAAAGACTTCAAGTACAAAAGAGATACAGGTACAAGTGAGTGCAAAAAGTGAAAGCAGGACTCTTTCACACTTACTGTGCTTTAATGGTTAACAGACTGCATAAATGTGCACATTTTGCTCTTCTACATGTCTTTCTCCCACTCCCTTTAAAGATATTCTTGCACACATGCTGTCGCAATATGCCTCCCATCCATCAAGTCCTAAAATGCTCAATAACTCTGCCAAGATCAAGAAAAGTAAAAAAAAAAAATTGAGACAATTGAAAAATGATTAACAACTGGTTGTTTACCATAAAAGCAGTCAATTGAACAGACAGCATATAACTAAGAATTTCCCTTTATTGCTTGCCAGATAGGCCAGGACTGGGTGCTTCAGGCCCTACCTTGCTTGCAGAAGTTTATGATAACAGAGTTTATCAATAGGTGGTACAGTATTTGATGTTAAAGTGTTAGTTCACCCCCAAAAAAAATTAAGTTAAGCTATAAATTAATCACCCTCATGTCATTACAAACATCTTGATTCAGACCTTTGTATTTTGGTTCCAAGCAGCTAATCAAGCTCTTTCTAGGTATACTAGAAACATCCAGGGAGGTGTTTTGAAGTAAGTTGGAGCTAAACTATGCAGTACACCAGCCCTCAGGACTGAGTTTGGACACCTCTGCCTTATATGGTTCAATCATTACATTATCAAGCTATAAGAAAACTTTTGTGCGGACAAAAAACAAGAATAAAAAGTTTAATCAACAGTGTTTTTTTCCTCAGTGTCAGTATAGGGTGCATATTCACAAAAGCATGTATGCTCAAAGTAGTCAAATAAATCAATGCGCATCCAAAGTAATACACAAAACATGCATGCCCTAAACTGACACTGTGGAGATGAAACTGTTGAATAAAGTAGTTTTTTTTTTTCATTTTATATTTGCAGAGAAGTATTCTCATAACTTGATAATTATCAGATTAAACCACTTAGTAAATAATAACATGATTTTTAATTTTGGGTGAACTAACCCTTTAATACATTCATTGATTGATATTTAGGAGTCGTTCTAGACAAGTACTTTTCATGCAGACTGAAAAGTTTAACTTCATTTAATTTGAGACAGGACACTCAGGACATAACATGCTAAAATACTTCAATTCATTCACTCACTCACTCACTCACTTACTCACTCACTCACTCACTCACTTAACTCAACTCACTCATAGTATAGACATTAATGTTACCAAAAATAATGTTTTCAAAAATTTTTGGACATTCATCTATAAATTCTGGAGGGATTTCAATACCCATTGAAAAAAGTTAGGTCTCTTTTCACTATTTAAATGTTTCTTGAGCAGCAAATCAGCATATTAGAAGGACTTAAACTGCAATATTTCATAATATCACTGCATATTGGCTCCAATAAATACAGACGTAATAATACACTTCAGGCTCACATCAAACATCTGACAAGACTGTGTTTATCTTGAAAAATCCTTCTAGGACATGCACATGCAGTGAACACCTGAAAAGTAATGATATAAGAGACACACTATGTGACAAAACATGCGAATGACCATGTTGTATGTTTACTCTGTAAGGGTGGAAGAGCTCAGCGTAAACAGCGGCAGGCTGAAGAGAAGTTAAGGCCATATTTAGGCAGAGTAGACCCAGGTGAGCCTGAATTATTCCACTCTATTCTTAAGTAATGACTTTGTTCATCATTTATTAAGTATAAAAAGCTGCATCTTCCTTTTTCACTATTAAACTCTCTATATATATTCTTACGTGTCTTTGTCTTCTCTTCAGAATCCCTGTGCCAGTTGTTGAAATGTCACAGTCCTATCGGTTCCTGGTGCCAAGTAGTGAAGGAGGAGGGAGTTCTTACCCCTAAATGTGTGTGTCCAAGTACCTGCCCACGGTAAGACAAACACACACACACCAACAAATGAATAACAATTTTCCTAAGACACCTGAGCTGATTTCAGAGTGAAGCTTCTTACTGTACAGTGAGCCAGCGGCATGAACAGCACGGCTCAGAGCTCAGTGTCATGATTAAGAACAGAATAATGACGTAACACGCTTTTTACGGCCCGCAGACTCCTTGGAATCAAACCAGCAGCCCAGATATTTAACTACTGTTATATTCACTCTGTGCACTTTAATGCAGATAAAGGCCACATGCAGAAAAGATGTGTTTGAAGACTGAAAAATGCTGATGCAGTTCAAAAATGTTACATTGAAACATACTTCCTTGAAAGGCATTGATTTTTTTACTCAAACATTTTAATATACAGTATAGCTAGATTTACTATGTTCTACACTAATTGGTGATCCATTACCGTACCAAATATTATTATATAAATAGTAAAAAAAAATCTCGATCTAAAATACAAAAACATATTAATATTACTGAACTTGAAAGGCATAAGCATAACAATGGAACCCATAACTGACCATTTTTATTTGTATAGGTCTCTTATAATGGTTTCATTACAGTATTTCACTTCTCATAATCTTTGTGGTCGATTATCATGCAAAACATATTATTATAAGCAGGGGTGTAGCCAGTAATTTTGGGCCATATGCAGAAAAATGTTCAGTGGGCCTGGGCCCATGAAGTGAAGACGGGTTACTGGGGACCTGCAAAAGTGAAGAGTGGGGTTGGGAGGGAATGTTGGCCTTTACTCCCGCACTCTGTCCCGCTTTTCCCCCATGTGGCATTTCTGTGTGGAGTTTGCTTGTTTCCATGTGTTGGTGTGGGTTTTCCCCCAGAGTCCAGAGACATGCACTTTAGGTGAATTGAATAAACTAAAATGGCTGTAGTGTATGTATGTTAATGAGAGTGTATGGGTGTTTCCCAGTACTGGGTTGTAGCTGGAGGGGCATCCGCTGTGTAGACATGGATAAGTTGGTAGTTCATTCCACTGTGGTGACCCTTGATTAATAAAGAGACTAAGCCGAAAGGAATATGAATGAATAGATGTTAAAGTTACCATTTTCTTTTGGAAATTTCTCTTTTCATAGTTTCATGCCAATAACTCACACTTTGTGTTTGGCAGTTTTTTTTTTTCTCTACTAGGCCTATTTTTATCTCTACAAGGGAATTGTGTGTCTTTGTTTTCTTTTTCTAGTGTTTGTGCATGATGGCATCTGCCTAATTTGGCATCTGCTTTCATAAACTGACAGATGAATTCATGCCAGAGTATGACATAGCCAGCGTGGCCTGTGATGTCAACATCAAACGATATTAGGAGGAGCATTTTCTCTCATTGCAAAAGAAAAGGAATAAAACGGCTATTTTTACACATTTATATATACAGTAATTACCTGCTGTCCCTAATTCAGAACATGAGCACTTGGTGATGTGTGTATGTGTTGTTTTGTTTGCTGCAGGCAGAGGGCACCAGTGTGCAGCGTTTTGGGAAAGACGTACAGCAACGAGTGTCTTCTCCACAAAGAGGCCTGCCGCAAAGAACGACGCATTGGCAAGGCACATAATGGAGCTTGTCTCGGTATAAAGACAAATACCCACTTACACGCGCATCCACCAGTAATGCGTAAGCTAATAAGCTGTGGTTTCTCTTTCAGTAAGTGAGACTGGATGCTCTGAGGAAGAGTTTGGGCAGTTCCCATACCGTCTGCTGGACTGGTTCTTACTCCTCAGCCGAATGGGAGAGAGATACACACCAGCAGCACCTTCACAAAGCTGCCTCTCACACACACAGCGAATGCAGCTCGCACAGGTGACACAAACACACAAAACTCACCACAGTAGATGCAGGAATATTCACTTGTACACATTATCACACGTGCAGTACACACTTGTATAACCATCTTTGGGGGAATCTTCCATATTAGATTTAATGATGTTTATAAACACTATCCCCTTACCCAAAGCTTATCATTAAACAGTCCTCACAGAAACCACATCAAACCATTTATAAATACGTATACTACATTCTTTATTATTTTTTTCTCTCATTTGGATCCACAATATGTCCCCATAAGGCCATACAGTTCTTAATATTAACTATACTTGAAGGCACATTTGTCTCTATAATGTAGAGAATTCTAGGTGCACGCACACATTTTTTCTTATGTTTCAGTGGAGACTCTGATAAACAGTATTTCTACTGTATATTCTATCACCCAACATTACCCCTAAACCCAACCTTTACAGGAAATAATCTGCATATTTAAAAACTACCTCATCCTATACGAGTAATAAGCATGTTTATAAGTGAATACGTACATTGAAGTCCACACGGTGACACAAGTCTTGATAAATCTGTGTGCATTCAGGTTCAAGTCCCCACCAGGATATAAAAACAGGATATAAAAACAAAATATTAACACACACTACTCAACTACTTTCTTATAGATTGTTTGCCATTTTGAGGTTCTGGTGACATGCGAAATTCAGATGGAGGGCTGGAAGTAAAAAAAACTGAATAGGAGGGATTACTATGTTGTTCAAAAACATTGTTTATTATAAATTACAATAGTTTTTTCCACCATGCGGATATCTTCCAGACATCACAAAATAGTAGATGAAAGCATACAAAAGCGTGGACGCATAGTCTACATTATTATTTATTTATTCATGTAAGGGGTAGAAGTGCTCCACAATAATAACCAACATGGGCTCAAAACATAGCCCTATATATACGTTTCTGGAGATCACTAATTATGTAGCCAGAGCCAGGGAGGAATGGTTCCAGACAGCAGGTAACACAAAAACACAATCCAAAAAAATAAAATAAACAAGTAAATAACAGGGTGAGAATGTGCTAAAATCTTAAAACGTGGTAAAAATCAGACGAGGGCTTTTCTTTTTGTGAATTGCGGTTTGGTTTAGAGAAGGTGGTAGGCGGGCTAATAGGTACTTTTCAAAATACTATTAGTTGGGTTTAGGGAAGGGGGAGGGTGGGGGCATTGGTCGGTTGGTCAGTCAGTGAGTTAAGGTTGATTTTTTTCCTCCTGCGTCGAGTGCACACATATGCTCCGGCGTAGCCTACACATGGATGCATAGCCCTCGCCGTGGCCATGGCGACGCTGACGAACACCTCTCAAAAATTGTAACTACACGTCGCAACATTCAATGCTTCTTTACATATAGACATTCATGTTATAGTTGTTTATTCTGCCAAAACACCAGTAAAGACTTGGATTATTGTTAAACAAGACGGAGAATTCATTGCAGTGATTACACTGCAGGGTACGTTATTTTTATTCTTCTGGATTTGTATAAATGTGGAGGTGTTTGTATCTGATTTTTATGTTACACATTAACATATTTATACACAGTTAGGCCTGTATATAATCTTTATTGGTTTTGTCAAACAAATTATCGCTTTTGCATAGTATTCCTATAATGGCCTATTTAAACAATTATGAACAACACAAAATGTAAACATTTTGATGTTCTGATAGTGATTCCTATGTAGAAAAATCACTTCCTGCCCTCCATCTGCCCTCTTATCAATGACGACATGTGAAACCAGCCTATGATATTCTGTTATTATGTTACATTATATATATTATGTGTATGTTTAGTGCATTAAATATGATTGTGTTGGTTTAAGAATAACTCTTGCAAAGTTCCAAACCTATTTCAGACACAGCAAATATGATTTTCTACTTAATATTATTTCTAATCAGTCACCAAATTGAGCGCCTATAAAAAATTTCAATGTGGTCATTGGCCCATGAACATTTCCTGCTTGTTATTAAACTATTTCATAACCGTAATAAGAGACAATTAAATCATAACTTCATCTTAAAACAGCTATCATAACATTATTTATCAATATGTGGCTCTTTCTGGATTCTCAGAAGCTTTAGGATTAAAAATGTTAATAAATTTCTAATATTTTTAATATAAAAAATGTGAAACGGGAAATTCGTTGGGACCTTTGTCAAAATGATCTATAAATAAATAAAATAAAACTTCCTCTTTTTTTATAAAGTTATAAATTTGTAACAAAAGTCCCGATCTTTTGTCTGCTTTACTTTTTCAGAGGAGGTTTGTTCTGCTGGATCGGAACAGGGATGGAAAGTTAAGCAGGAGGGATCTGAGAAAGCTGCACTATAAGCGGATGCCGCTGGAGCACTGCGCTCAAAGATTTTTCCAGTAACCCCACACAAAGATAACGACACACACAATCACATCGCCACTGTGATTTTTTTGTAATGCTTTCTCCTGTCTGACCTTCTCTGTATTTGCATAATATTCCCGCAAAGCCTCCCCAGCATCCGTCTGATTATAGTACACATGCCTTCAGGATGTCACCCACTCCTCTCTCTCATCCTCTTTCAATCTCTCGCTCGTTCTCTCCATCACTCACTCTCATTCATAGCTCTGAATGCTTATTGCCTTCCTACTGTTCTAATGTGAGTAGTGTCCTTTACGGCTGATGGCTTCGGAGAGAGAGACATAGAGGGATGAAGAAATCAAAAACACGAAAGCGAAGCAGTCCACTTGTAGATTTCAACAACACACTTATGTGTGTGCGCAGGTCATGTGACAAGAACCAGAATAAGAAGGTGACCCTGAGGGAGTGGACATCCTGTCTGGTGAAGCGGTCAGAGCGCTGGTTTGAGGATTTCATGTGTAAGTCAATATTTGTTTCTGAATATGAGCTTCTCATGTGTAAGCGTGTGCAAACACACACACACACACACACACACACACACACACACACATATCACTGTGTTCCTATTTTGTTTCTCTGCTACAGCCATGAAGATGGGCTCTCCAAAGCTGTGTCCGGTTCAAGACAACAATCTCTGAATTTATGTGTATATGTCTGTATATTTGGGTGGAAATGTCATTTGAAGACATGATGGAACATAATCCTGATCTAGTCCACTGCTGATTATGAACATCTAATTTTTTAAAAAATATTTAAATCGTATACATTTAATTGGATGATATAACATCCATGTGGTATTTGGGGAAAAAAGTGCCTTTATTTAATTGCTTACAAGATGTAAACAGTAATATTTGACATAGTTTTACAATTTAACATATCTGTTTTCTATTAATTTTTTTTATATTAATTCAGGCGACACAGTGGCTCAGTGGTTAGTAATGTCGCCTCACAGCAAGAAGGTCGCTACTTTGAGACTCAGCTGGGTCATTTGGCATTTCTGTTTGGAGTTTGCATGTTCTCCCCGTGTTCGCGTGGGTTTCCTCCAGGTGCTCCAGTTTCCCCCACAGTCCAGGCTAAATTAGCCGTAGTGTATGTGTGTGCATGTGAGAGTGCATGGGTGTTTCCCAATACTGGGTTAGAGGTGGAAGGGCATTCGCAGTGTAAAACATTTACTGGATAAATTGGTGATTCATTTCACTGTGGGGACCTCTGATAATTAAAGGGACTAAGCCGAATGAAAATGAATGAATGAATTTTTATTCAATTAAAAAACAATTTTAAAGTCTTTGGTCCAGTCTAATGTCCAGTCTAATTTCATGCTCCTGTAATATCTTCTAATTTCACCAAGGTTTTTTTGTAAACAATTATTTTTCAGAATTGTTTGATTATAAAGTTCAAAGCAACAGCATAGAAACCCTCAATAACCTTATAAATGTCTTTACTGTCACCTTTTCCCAGTTTAAAGTATTCTAGTTAAAGTATTAACTCATTAACCCCCTTTACTTTAAAGATAATACATGTACTGTAATAATTAGGTAACTTACAGTTAATTATTCTGACCTAAAACATCAAGAAAAATCTCTTATGACTTAATAAATTAAGTTAAAGCACAGTTAACTTATTTAAATAAAAATTACTTAAATTGACCAAAAAAAGCCTGGCATAAGCCTGGTTTATTCACCTTATTCTCCGCCGACGAGCGGGCGCTGGCATTTGAATCTTTTTGTCTCGCGACTTCCGGTCTCATTCACTTCCATTCATTTTTTGACGTTAAAAACTGCTCATTACGCTGCTTGATGTTGCAATTTGATATTTTCTTATTATATTATTCTACTTGGTCTGTGTAGTCATGCAAATATTTGTTTGTAGAGCAAGTAGTTTGACCATTTTCTGTTTATTAGTCCTAGTCATTTCTCCCATAGGCGACTGAATCGGAAGTTCTAAGACAATCGCGAAAACAGGCGCACTTCCGCATTTTAGAATAAGGTCAATACTTCTGCGTAGAGTGATCGCCGTGACCCACGGCGCATACCTTGCACGTAGTCGTCCATTATACTTCTGTGTGCTGTTTGTGTTGCTCTGCAATAACACTTCCAAAACACTAGCTGGCAGTAGGTTTTTATGTTCTTCTGTGTCGAGTTTCTTCATTGGTGTTTTGTCTTTTCTGAATGCTACCTTAATGAAGAAGTAGCTAAAGCTAACTCATTCAGAGGTGGGAACCGGCAGACATGCAACATTTTTATTCATAAGGTAATCACAAAAGTTTCCATCTGGAGCTACTTTACGGGACTTCACACTTGTAAAACACCCGCTCCAACGGGTTCGCGCAGCTCTCACCCCCACCCATAGTCACCAAGTTGACCAATAACAGAGCTTGTGCTACGTGTCATTGTAATGTGTAGTAATATATTTTGAGGGGTGAGCATCGGTCTCAGCCACAGCGAGGGGTATGTGACCACGCAAAGGCTGCGCCAGAGCGCGAACACAGTAAAATGAACCGACTTCTGTTCTCACACAGCGGATGCCCTTCCAGCTAGGCCTCTCACAATAATCAATATAACACTTATCACACAGCACATGGACATGACGTCAATCATTTTTGGTGATGCAATATATATCGCCCATACATAAAAAACAATTGAGGCAACATTTTAGCTGATTGTGCAACATTTCTATCTCTGTTGGAGGTATCAGTGTCAGTATAGTTAAAAAAAACACTATAGTATTTACTATAACTTACCATAGTATATTAATTTGTGTGTTTAAAAACTGAAAATAGATCTGGTAGCAGATATTGCAGCCTCTGTTACTTTTTAAATTGCACTTTTTGTTATCATTAATTACAATTTATTTGTTAAGGATATACATTTTCACATTCTGATTCCAATGCCTAATTATTAAAATGACTATAATTAAATGAAATATTCATAAAATTAAAATATTATCTTTGGGTGAGTTTACCTGCTTTGTGATTGTTATAGTGTCATTCGGGCATTATATAATGAGTGGCATAAAAATCTGGTCTTGACATGACAATAATATCGTTTGTCGCAATATATTTTGGTGCATAATTAAACAACAAAAAATAGAAGTCATGACATGCCTACTTCAAGCCACAATCCAGTAAAGACCATACACACTCATTTACACACACACACACACACACACACACACACACACACACACACACACACACACACACACACACACACACACACACACACACACTCACACACACACTCACACACTCATAAACTACGCCCAATTTAGTTTATTCAATTCACCCTTAGTGCATGTCTTTGGACTGTGGTGGAAACTGGAGCACCTGGAGGAAATCGATGCGAGACATGAAAACGTGTTGTCATAACAATCTCAAAACAAAGCTCATTTTTATTTCCCCCCCAAAAAAATGTGGGGGGACGAACTTAAAAAAAGAGAAAAGGTGGGTTTTAGTAGTTGCTTCAACCTGACTGTAATTAAAGCGGGATAAAAAATGAAACATAATAAAAGTTTAAATATCTCTGTTGCATTTTGTGGTGCTTGTGTGTGTTATGACTCAGTGCTGCAATCTAGTTAACAAAAACTGCTTTTTGAGGGACAGCGGGTATGTATCATGGATCACACAAGCAATTACTGCAGAGCGGGACAGAGAGAGAGAGAGAGAGATTGGGCTATAACCTTAAACAGAGGGATGGAGAGCAGATTAATTGAGGGGTGGTGTTTAATAGGAGAGAGATGGAGAGAGAGATGGATGGCCCATGAGAGAGATAAAAGACTACGTGAGCAGGGATGAGAGGAATAGATAATATGGCAGAGAGAGACGAAGAAAGAGAAGGACACCGAAAGAGAGAGAATCTCGTAATGCACTTGCAGAATGGCACGGGGAGGGGGACAAGTTACAGTAAACCATAGCAAATGGAGGAGAGAAAATAGATTGAAGCATGAAAAATGGATCAGAAAGAGAGAGAGAGAGAGAGACGGTGGGGGGAAGGGTGTGAGAGAAAGAGATGGAGTTGCAGAAGGGTGTGATAAAGGGTGAGAAGAGATTGTTGGATGCAGGAAAGTAACTAAATGGCATCCCACCGCAAAGTAACTTCCCCTTCCAGTACATCATCGATGTCTTCCACTTTTCCAAACCCTAAACGCTTCCAATCATTTCTGCCAAGTGTGAAAAATTGATTCCCATCGTTTGAAAACAAGCGCATCGAGTTTTCCGTGTATATATGACCCCAGGAAGTGCGGCAGAATAATCAGATCTCGTTACATTTGTAGCTTTTAAAGTGGGTTTGGTTTCCTGTAGCTGTAGAGCAGTCAAGAATCATCTCATCTGGCAGACGCTCCTGCATTGTTTTGGTTTATGGTGCGGTTTAGTATCTGTCATCGTGGTGCGTGATCATTCTGTGTTGTGACATTTTGGGGTTATGTGTTGTCTTTAATGTGTGCAGAGATTGTTTTGTGCTTTTGTGTTGCTAATACGCAGTGTACTTTGCTCTTTTGTAGTCTCAGTAAAAGTTTTCATTCGGGCTGGACTATCTGTCTTAGAGAATTGTATGATTGTACTGCTCTGGTCAATAGTGGCACCCTTAAATTAGCTACAGATGGATAAAACTGCTGGTAGGAGACTCAACCGGTAAGTCATTTCGGTAATGTAATTTAGTAGTACTTTTTGGTCATTTTATGATTTATTAATTAAATAATAATATAATTATAATTTCAGAAACGTTAACTTGAAACACTGTCAGAACAAACTCACAAGGGTATAAAAACCAAGAATCTTCCAGTTATCTACTTCACTTGTAATGCTTTGGTAATATTCATTCATTCATTTTCCTTCGGTTTAGTCTCTTTTTCAGAGGTCACCACAGTGCAATGAACCGCCAACTATTCCGGCATATACTTTATATATAAACACAGTACTGAGTAGCTTTGGTTGGATTTTGTATGTCACCCTTTTCTGACACACTTCAGATCATTAATGAGGTGTTTTTCTAATGTATGGTATGATGTGGTTTGGTATAGCATGGATAATTTTTTAGGGTCTTTTTCACTGTGTTCTGTACCTAGTACATGTTCTAGTACAGGGGTTCCCAAACTTTTCAACCTGCAACCCCTAAAATTACAATGCCAGTGACTCATGACCCCCAAATTTCTCTTAGGTATACATACATATACATATGCACACGTTGAGCACATTAAAATAGGCCTAAACACAAGCACATTGACAACACAAAAACGTGCAACAGTCTAACAACCATATCATTTTTATAGTCATTTATATATTTGTTTAATTTAATATTAACCTCAACTATAGAGACTGGTGGACACAATGTTTTCAGCACAAGTCTAATCTTGGTCCAATCAGAAATCATTCTCAATGTTCGGTTGTGGCATGTATTTATTTTTTTATGTATTTGATTGCCATAAAAGTCTTAGAAAGTTTAACCTGGTGCTATAAAAATCAATCTGCTGCAGCTGACGCTTTTACTTAATTGTTAATCTAACATAAACACACCAAACCCATGAAAAAAATAATTTAAAGGCTGATGGCTTTCCATTTGCATTTAGTTGTTTTTTACTATTAAAAACTACTATTTTTTATCTTCTGTGGGTTATGGATGAAATATTGTAATTCTAATCGTTTAATAAAACTTATTTGAATTGAAATCAAATAAATTGAAAGTTTTAATTACCAAGAGACCCCCTGCCATTGTCCTAGGACTTAAGGAACCACTGATCTAGTACATAGTACAGTACATAGGTTTACATTACAGTACTATTACTAAAGCAAGATGTATACACACTGCTGAACACCAATTGGTCAGAGAGAATTGTCAAATTCCCTTTATTTAAATAGAGAGCAGCAGCCACAGCTGTATTTTTGTTTTGCATGACTAAACCGATTTTATACCACTG